CGCGGGCTGCGGACTGCAGCCGGGGGTGGCCGCTGGCCGGGCTCTGGGCGGCGGCGAGGAGAAAGTGGCGTGCGGGGCGCCAGGTAGAGCTGGGGGAGGGTGGGTAGTGGTCGGCGCTGCACAGGGGTTGGGAGCAGAAAGTGGAGCAGTCGATCCGGGGCGGGCGCAGGCCTGGGAGCAAAAACCAGAGCAACGGATCGAACGCGCAGCCGGGAGCGGGAAGCACAGGAGTGCATTGGGGCAGGGAGCGGGAAACAGAGCAGTAGACCAGACAGGGAGTACAGGGCTGGGAGTAGGAAGCAGGGCAGTGGCAGTAGATCGAGCAGGGAGCAGGGGCCCGGGAGCAGAAAGCCGCGCAGTAGATCGGGCACGGAAAAGGGCTCGGAGCGGCGCTCGGACAAACCGCAGGGTTAGTTTATGGGACGCCTGCCGGAAAGGTTGGCTGTCAGGGCTCCTGTGTCCTACAGGTGTCTGATGCAAGTTCGGAGCTGGTCGGTTTTGCATGTGGTTATTCCCCTTGCATGAATGAGTCCAGATCGGTTTGTAAGTGGGCTTATTTAACCTGGCTGCATAGAAAAACCTTGAAGCCTACCTTAATGTTCGCAAAACTGGGCAAGATCATGGTAGGGACAGAGAACAAATGGATCTTTATCCCTTGTGACAGGTCTTTGTTGTCACACTATCATATCACAGGAAGCCTATTTTTATATATTTTAATTTTTTATCTTGCAAAATCCTTATTAGCATTGTAACAGACATCTCTTCATTATAGGCTTCTCAGAACTACAAAACTGAATAATTTTACAATAATCATGAAAGTGCTTCCTATTAAGTCACTGTCCTTTTCTGTTCTAGGTCAAACGCTTTCCAACTTCAACATTGATTTTGTTGTAACTTTACTGAGGCAGGAAAATGCCAAAGACATTTGTGTCATTCAGGTGCCTCCAGAATTTAAATACAGTGACTACTTTATAATTGTGAGTGGAACTTCTACAAGACATGTCCAGGCAATGGCACAATACTTGCTGAAAATGGTAGGATGCTTACTTCTATGTCTCTCTTAAGCAGAAACATATTCTGTGAAGTTAAATTGTCTCATTTTTATAAAGGTAACAGAATGCCAAGCAAGGAGAGGTTTAATATTGTTCATATGGCCTGTAGCACAAAAGAGTAGCTAGACACATGCTTTCTCACAGAGTAAATTCTGATAGAAAGATCTCTCCATACCCTGACAGTTGTAATGCAGAGTTTGGGGGAATAAAAAATTAGGACTTTCAAAACAGAGAGGATAGTGCAAGCAACTGTGGGGTTATACATGGTATTTTATAATGGTGAAAGTAAAACTTAGTTGTGCATGCTAAGAAAAAACAGCTTATTGCTATGAAAAAACATAGTACCTAATAAAAGGTCTGATCTTAAATACTGGATTTGGCTGTCCCATTATTTTTCCTGCAAGGAAATAGGATCCAAAGATCATCTGGGGAAAGAGCAGAAATTAGTGTGGAAAGAAGGAATGCCAGCATTATGGAAATCCCCGGAGACTATGACACTCCTCTGTGGCTGGGGAGGGAAGTGTTCAGGCCAGGCATGTAGCTGTGTGTATTATACTTGCACATGTAGAAGTTGTTGAGTAAAAGTCTTGCTTTCCCAGTGTTCTAAATGGAGGTGTCCCTCACCACCTGGGACAGAGACATGCTTTGGACTGTTTACCAGTTTGAAAGCCACTGGCTACTTGACTTCTGTTAGGCTGTGATGGGGGTGGGAAATTTAAGAGGCCATATTTGCTTGTTGTGGGATGCAGGTGAATACACCCTGATAATACCTTGCGATAGAGACCTATGAATATAGACCTAGTTCCTAGCTCCAGTAACACCTGTGCAGGGTGCTGACATGGCTCAAAACTATAGCTTGGGTTCTTTTTTTACATAAATCACCTTACACAGTGGGCCTCTAGGACATGAATAGGGCACATCAGTGTTGTTATAACATTAAATGTAGTGGGTTAACTCTTTTGATTGCTTTACATAATTACAATGTGCAACTTCTCTGCCTTTTTTTAATGAGAAGATCTAAAAACATTTTAATCTAAGACTAGTGGCTCTGCAGATCACTTTGTTAAAGATACTCTTGTGTATTCTCTTAAAACAGCCACATCCTACCCCCTGCCTCATGTGGTGATTTTAAATTTAGTGAGGAATACTTATGCAGCTGATAGAAATCATAGTTAAATTTAATGGAAAAGATCTAGCTAGCTGCTGGAAAAGCACGTGTTAGCACCTTTGCTTGTGAGTTAGCGCTGCGTGGCTAGAGAAAAAGGGTGAGCAGCAGCAGATCTCTTTTAGTTGGAATTGGGCTTATTGGTTTCTTGCAGCCCATGACTACTGGAGTGTAGAAAAGATTTTCCCTCTGCTCATCATGTCTGACTCCTGTGAGCTTTTGCTCTGCCCTTGTTTTCCAATGTAAAAACTAAAGATCATGTTGATATGTACCTGTAGTGATATAGGTCTGACCAGAAGACTTGCAGAGGCAAGAACTGCTCTAGGAGGACACCTGTTTGTTAAAAGTGCATTACCAAGAAAGCACAGCTGCTCTGCTGGGGTTTGCTGAGCTGTTCTGTTTGCGTTCTGCAAGCTTGGGGCTCATTTCTTTGCATTTGCTGCAGTGTCCCTCCAGTCCTCTGGTTTATTTTTCTGAATGTAAACTTGGGCCAAGATTTCCCTCTCTGTTTCCCATATTCATGTACATGTTGTCTGTACATTTGGTGGGTTTCTCAGAAACTGCTCCCCTCAGACTGAAATTAATTTAGGTTCTTTTTAAAACTAGAGGACCCTTCATTCCTTGCCTGTTACTTCTCTCTGAATCTCTCTTGCATTCTCTAGCCTTTTACTGATTGACTCCTTGCTAGACTTCTTTCCCCTCCTTTTATAGTCCTGTAGGTTTTAACCTTGAGGTGTAGAGGAGCTGGAAGAAATCTGCAAAAGAGGAGGAAGTCCCTGCTAAAGCCTTAAAGATTTCAGGTACCACTCTCTTAGCTGGCCTGAAATAGAGTGAGGATCCTGATCTCAGGAATCCTGGGGAAGTGCCTGACATTAGTGATCTCCTTGTAAAAATCAGGAAGCTTAATAAGCTTGAGACTGCTGTTTGAGGCAATAGGGGCCAGAGCACTTATTGCAGACAAGGTGGCTGTGCACCAGTTAATGTCTAGGACTTGAGTGTTGTATATGCTATATAAACACTATCAACTGGTAGGGTGCTGCTGGATAGGCTGCACTAAGTAGTCAGTCTGTTTCTTTTCCCAATCCCTTTTAGTGCACCGTGTGAACTGCGCCATTATACCTATTGTTGCCTTTTACTCAGCAAGCATGCATTGTGTAAATGTTACAGTTTTACTCTCCTGTAAGTTTGATTCAGACAGAAAATTTCAGCATGAATTTTTAAAAAGCCCAATTATAGCTGTGTCTAATAGAATTCATACCTATCATGCCTTATCTCATGGTGTATGCTATAGCTTTTTCTACTTCAGGCACAAAAAAATCTGTGTTTAGCCATTAAAAACTTTCTCCTGAAGGCCCCTATTCCCTTTCTATCCCCAAAATGGAGCTGCAGTTCATGTTCTCATTAACGCAGGAAAATAGTGCTGCTCCTGTTTTATTTGGTAACTGGGTGGCTAGTATCTCTATTTCAAACCCTTTCAAACTTTATTTTTTTTAAAGGTCTACAAATGGACCTGTTGTTCCAGGATTGGTCTTTTTCATTCCACATTCAGGGTAAATTCTGTAGACAAGATTAGCTTGCATCACTTGAAAATAAACATTTCAGAAAATCTATTTTCATGTCAATTTGCTGCTTTTTCTTTTCAGTACAAGCATCTGAAACAAGATGATGATCCTTATGTCCAGATTGAAGGGAAAGACACAGAGGACTGGATGTGCATTGATTTTGGTAAATATTTATTAATTTCACAAATGCTTGTTCTGCGAGAGGTTGAAAGAAACATCTCACTGTAAACTTTAGCTACAAAAAGGTTCGGAGATCTAGAAAGGCTCGATTTTTCTAAGTCGAGTTTTGTTTTGTGAATTCCATTAAATTTCTATATAAAAGAAGATCTGTGCCTTTGAGACGAATGGAATAACAATTCTTGACTAAAAATAGCTCTTGCCAGAGTAGGGATCAAAGAGCAGAAGAGATTGTCTTCATGGGGCACCTAGAAAAGTGACTTTCTTCTGGTTATTTTCAAAGTACAAAAGGGAATTGAATATGCTTTATTCAATTATTATTGAACTGTTGAATTCACATTTCTCCATTTGTTCTGTTAATTACAAGATTCTGTCTGATAGATTAAGATCTTAAAAGGATTACAGTTAACTTCCCTGTTCCTGTTTAAAACAGTTGACAAATATATTTTTAAAGACTTGGGCCTCAAGGTGCACTTCTCCTTCAATGGGCACTTCTAATGAGACAAAATTTAAATATTTAGAAAAAAGAACCACTTCTGTCATTAAAAGCATTTTAGGAAGGGCTGCACAATGAAATGACAACTTAGTCAAATGTGGCAAAATTTGTGTTGTGGAGTAATGATGCCAGAAGTGGCAAGTAGGAGACCATTTTAACTTATTGCTGTAAAACAAACAACAAAATCCATTAAAATTAATACAGTGAGAAATTGAACCAAAATTTTTTTTATTGCCAATAGGTCATAGTAATAATACACAGAAAAAGTATCATTTAATTTTTCCACTAGGAAATGTAAATAAAAAACCCACAAAATCATATTCAAAATCATATAAGATTGCTATAATCTTTGACCAGTCAAAAAATAGAGTCAATTGATAATATTTGACCAGTCAATTGACTGGCTTGCAAACCCTACACAGGGTGACAACAACCTTGAAAACTTGTATCAGACGCGCACACACTCTGCTGCAGTTTTTCAGTACTATGTTCATGTTGGCTTTGCACTTGAAATTTAAGTGATTATTTTCTATAAAGCACAGGGTGGGTTCGATTAAATCACTGGTAAGGATAATCGGCATATGTTCTATGTTTCTCTTTAGCCCAATGTTGAGAACTCTGGCTATGACAGCTTCCATCTTTTTTGTCGAGATTTTGTTCATAAATTGTCATTATATTAGGCCAGTTATCACTATATTGCTCAAAATAGTCCACAACTGAGTTCCATCACACATCTTGTGGGAAAATTAGTTTGGTTCCTTCTGCTTTCTTCAGAACAACTGCTGCAAAGCGGTTGTTACAAAAGTATTTTGCAATTTCAACAAAATTGTACTCAAAATGTTTCTTGTTTGTTTCTACTGCCCCTTCCTTCTTGCATTTATCTCCATTCTCCTCCTACTTGCCCAGATCTACTCCACCCCCAACAATCCTCTATTCATTTAACTTCTTGAAACTTTGCACTTTTAGAGAGAGGTAAAGGTTTGACTCTGTGTACATGCAGCTTGCAGAGATGATATGGCTGATGGGTAGGTAAATCAGGTGTTATCTCCAGGGATCCTGGTTTTCTGTGATTAAAAAAAATCTATATATTAGTGGTGTTTAATTTTGATCATGGAAAAATGTGGATTTTTGGATAGTTTTTTTAATTAAGAAATTGGGTTGATTTGTTTTTATTGGAGAAAGCCAAGATCCTTGTTTCTCTCTCATTTCCATATGCTGCTGTTAATAAGGATATTATATCTGGAGAGACAAATCCACAGTTTGAGAACTGAAACTAAGCATCACAGAGATGCTTAATGGGATTTTCTAGACTGAGCACTGAGTCCTATTGGGTAGAGTGGTTTTCTTTAATCTTTACTAATCTATAGATGAGCCTCTGAGAACCCCAGTAAGAGTGGGCCCCTAATAGTCCAGGGCCTGTTGTGACCTATTTATAAAACTTTTCTAAAAAAGTTACATGAATATATTGTCTGAAATACTATATCATTAGAAGTTATCCCTATTCCATGATGATATCTTTGAGCTTTAACATCTCTTAAAACTTATCTTGATATAGGTTTATTTTTTTTAAAGAGCATCTTTAAATCAGTTTATTTAATCATTTTTTATTTTTTAAATAAAAAGAACCCATTTTTTATTTTAAAGTCATTTTTTTTCCACCCTGATGAAGTAGCACAATGATTCTCAACCAGGGTGTCATTGCACTGTAGGGTGTCTTGAGGTCCTTTCAGGTTCTCAGAATACCATGCAGTGTTAGTGCTTAGGTGGGAAAATATAATAAGCCCAAAGATTTCAAATAAGAATTCATAGTATTAAAAACATTTGACCTGCTGTAACCCTCGTGAGTTCTTTGCAACAGAAAAATTGCTGTTTTCTACAGTCAAATCAGTGAAAACAAAGAGCTGGAATTTTCTGAAGGCTGCCTTGACCCTAAAGAGGGATAGCTTGAGTCAAAAAGGATGAGAACTCCTGAAGTAGCAGAATGTATAACTTCCCTGCAGACTCTTAATTATTTAATCCGATAGTACAAATGATATTCCTTTTATTACTTTATATGCAAGCCATGTTCTGAAAGCAAGCTGAGAAGCTGAAAGGAGTAAAGTAAATAAAAGTTAACAGGTACAGGCAACTAACTTATAAAAGTCTACTTAAGTTTTGCTGTTAAGGCTACTGCTCCATTTTTATATACTACAAAAAACACCTATACATTTTAAATATACTTCTGGCATTCTGTTGTGCTTATACCATTTCATAGGAGGATGCCTAATTTTCTGTCCATCAATGATAACTAGTCTGTACTTATAAAATACTACTTTTTACATATACACCTCACCATTCTGTCTCTGGATACTAGATTATCTGCTTTTCACTTCCCAGTATAGTTCTTGCTTCATATCAATGTCATGAGTCATGACACTGAAAGAAAAAAAAAAAAACTCACCCTGGTTTTCAAAGTGCCATTATAATTGGATTGACACTAGCATTGCAAGTAGAGGAACTTGAAACTGTTGAAGTAAAACTAAATGTATAAAATGGCAATGTAGTGAAATGTTCTCATAGCATTTGGTACTGCATGCTAACGCATTCTTCTGAAATAATTAAGGAATATCAAGGTACTAGTGTTTCCTACTAGAGATGAGCTATCCATTTGCTGCTAGTTTATTGTGACCCTTTGTCTTCTATAGGTAGCATGGTGATCCATCTCATGCTTCCAGAGACAAGAGAGATTTATGAATTGGAAAAGTTATGGACCCTCCGCTCTTATGATGACCAGTTAGCACAGATTGTTCCAGAGTCATTACCAGATGACTTCATATTTGGACTCGAATCTCAACAACAGTGATCAAAATCTTTCTTTCAGGAAAAGAATGTCATATGTATAATACAGCTAACAGCATTCACCACTTCAGGATTTAAATAAAACTGAATTAGTTTTTGGTTGCAAACTGAGTTGGCTAACTCTTGGAAGGAGGAGGAACTGCTGTGCTTTGAAGCAAAGATAGAATGACTTGAAGGCAATACCACACCTGGTTAGGACAGTAAGTGAATACCATATTTAATGGAGCGCTTGGTACCTAACTTCCACAATGGACATAGGCAATTTTATGAACAGGACTGTATTATCTCATTGCTTTGGATGGGTAGGAAACTGAATTCCATGACTGAAGAGGTAGTGTTTTACTTAGTGATTTCAGGTTGGTAACAGTAGAGAGTCCATCACCTTCATTCTTTTGTAAAGGAAGATGAACCCTATTTACCTCTATACAAAGAGCTCACTGTATTTTGATTATTATTTAAATAACCAGTAGTTTTCTGTTCATGACTAACACAAGGCATAACAAAGTTGTAGGTAAGCAGTTATGATACTCTTGTATAGACATGCTAATAAAGCTGGCATTGGCAAGTTTCATGTAACAAAAAAAAATTCTTGTCTGATAAACCAATCCAATTAACACAAATTTAAAATGTTACAATGAAATGCAAGTTATCAGTAGCCAAATATTGTGTTAATATTAACAATAAACCAGATGTTGATGAAGGAAGCAAAAAACTTCTTTCTTCAGCATTATGCATCTGTGGTATATTAAACTTATCCTTATAGTTATTTCATTAATGCTACTCAGTTACGTAGCTTATATCCTCTCTACACATGACATTTTAATAAGTGGAGCATTAAGATAATAGAGAATGGAAATGGTTAAGTATTAGCCTGCCTGAATCTATATAAATACTAACATTCTTCAAGTTAATGGGAAAAGATAGATGTTTGTTGTTAAGCAGGCAAAAAAAAAATCTCATCTAGAGATTATAGGGAAGCAGAGATGGAAAGGACCTCTAGAGGTCACTTAATCCAACCCCCTGCCTGAGGCAGGATCCATATGTATTCAAAACATCCTAAAGAATCCATGATCTAAATTCTGTATAAGCCTACTGCTAACACAGACCTAACACCCTGAGCTGTCACTGATTAAAAGTAGGGGAGCCATGCCAGCCAGTGTCCTGCTTCTATTTGTTAATGTATGCTCAAGAGATCCCAGGTAGAGGGCTATGCCACCCACTACTGAGGAAGTTAAACCCCCCTAGTTTGTACCAATCTGATGATGGGGTAAAATTCCTTCTCAATCCCAATACAGTGCAGCTGTATCACACTGCAGACTAGTATTCAGTTTGTGTTCTACCAAGACTACCCAGTTCTTTTCCACAGTGCTGCCATCCAGCCAAGTGTCATGCATTTTATATCTGTTTATGATTATTGCTTCTAACATGTAGCACCTTGCATTTGACCACACTGAACTTCATCCCATTAGCTGTAGAGCAGGGGTAGGCAACCCCCCACATAGGTGCCAGAGTGTGGCACACAAAGCCAATTTGCTTGGCACGTGTATCTGGGGGCAGAAGGCAGGGAAGGGGCTGGGGCTGCACTGCCACAACAAGGATCAGGCTCCTTGCAGCTCCCCCACCATCTGCCCTGGCACTCCAACATTTTACAAGTTGAGTTTGTGGGTGTTTTCAGCACTGTCCAAAAATATTTCCGACCCATACTCTAGAGAGTCTAACCCAACTTTCCAATCTGTTGAGATCCTTCTGAATTGTGCTCGTATTCTCCAATATGTCCTTCCCAATTTTGTTATCTGCAAACTTGCTCAAGAAGCTATACCAGCATCCAAATTGTTAATAAAGATACTGAACAGCACCAGACCCAGAACAGACCCCTGTGGGACTCCACTTAACCTCCCATTGTTCTGACATGGACCCATTATTACCTTTTGCTTGAGGCTATTGAGCCAGTTATCTGTCCATCTTGTAGTAATTTTATCTAGCCCATACATCTCTAATTTATGAGAAGATCATGCAGGACCTTGCCAAAAGCCTTGCTGAAGACCAGATTCAGTATATCCACAGCATTCCCTTCATTCACCCAAGTAGTTTCTCTTTCAAAGGAGCTCAAGCCCTGCTGTCTTGAATTCATTCAAACTCAACAAAATCTCTTGTGTTATCTCCTCCCTCAGATTGCCCCTTTCCTTATCCACATAATCCTTATTAGGTGTCTGGCTGCAGCTGAATTTTTTTGTGAAGACTGATACAAAGTAACTTGAGTAGATCCTCCTCCCTTGGAGGTAGAGTAACTCACTTAGCTGAGGGTAGTGGTAAGCTACTCTCTTATGGTATATGAACCAGCAGAGGGGGAACAATTTGCCTCACCCTCAGGATTAGGCCTTCAAAACTGCCTTTGTCCCCGGCCAGCTGGCAACTGTCAGCAGCAACTGGAAGTGGAGAGACCCCAAACCCCTTCTCCATAGCCCTCCCTGCCACCAAGCAGCTGTGCACTGCAGGGCCAGGGTCAGTGACAGCTGAGGGCATGGGGCCAGCCCAGGCTCCAGGCAGAACTTCCTGCCCAAGGCTAGATCACAGCCCTGCACAGCACTGCCTGGGATGGCAGCAATCACACTCCTAAATTAACCCTCAATGAGATCTGGCACAGATACTCAATAAAAAGCTTTAACAGAAAGTGCTTTAGGTTTGTACACATCTGTCAAGGTTAACTTAGAGTGCAATCTGCCATTTTTAAAACACTCGTAAGAGCTGTTAATGTCTGTTTAGTTATTGCTTTAAAGTACTTTCTGCCTGCTTAATATGTGATGTGTGTAACGCAGGGGTAGGCATGGGTGCCAGAGCATGGCACACAAAGGCATTTTGCTTATCACACATCTTGGGGTGGATGGTGAGAAAGGGGTTGGGACTGTGTTGCTACAAGGAACAGGCCCCTTGCAGCTCCTCCACCATCTACTTTGGCACACCAACATCTTCCAAGTCAAGTTTGCAGGGTTTTTTGGCACTCTGCCCAAAAATATTGCCAACCACTGGTGTAACATCTGTACCTAGCCATGGGGAATAGCTGAAGTTGTGCACACCCTTTAACTTTGACATATCCTAGCTACCATAAATGCTCCAGTTGTAACACAAGGTGGCTATTTTTAAAATCTCTCTGTCAAAGAGTAAGTGGGAACAATGCCAATTCTTAAATTAAGCTTTAAGCAGCATCCCCCTGACCTCAAAGCTAGCTACAGCTTTTTTCCGTGCCAAGACTAAATCTTTGTGACATGACAGCGCAGCCCCCTCCTGGCATTGGTTTCTCACTTCCCTCTTCTTGCAGGAGTACCTGATATTTAAATCATAAAGACAAAAGTGGAATACAAAACAGCTATGAAGTAAAACAATTGCTCTGGATTCTCTTAGTCAGTTCCTCTTCCAAAGAAATGTCAAATATGTTTTTATTCTACCTCTCCCAAACAAAAAGCCCCATTCACCAGGTCCCTTTTCAGTTACCCAGTAGCATTACTAGAAATTAAAGGGTAGATACCCCTTAGGAAACTTGAAGCTAGGGACAGGAATGTCACTTCTGCACACCAGCATTGCAGATTCTAAAATTCCAGGGACGGTGGGATTTACATGACCTATCTGAAGGAAGCTGAAGCAAAGGACAAGTGCAGATAGCAGCCCCCCCTACCCCCCCAAAGAAAGCAACACTAATATCCCTTACCCCCAACCTCCCTGCAGACAACCCCAATCTCTTTCCTTGGCATTTACTCTTGGTTGTAGCATGTGGGTAGAGCCTTTCCAAAGAGACCTAGGCCACTCAGAATAAGGACCCTACATAACAGCTGCGCCTACACTAGATGCTAACTGAGCAGTTGTTACTGCAGTCATTTCTGTTACTGCACAGTCATTTCAAGTAAACAAGTATGAAATGACTGCGCGGTGACCGGAGTTACTGGATAGCCGCACCGTGGAACGTAGTTTTCGTGACTGACTGTGGAGTAGCGTCGCATCACGCTTCCTGCCACATGATGCTACTGCATAAATCAGCGTCTCATGTAGACACAGCTAGTAAGTAGCAATGAAACCACGAAACAGGTGGTGTAGCACTGATATGGGGAGGGGATAACAAATCGCAAAACTTGAGACCAATGCCACTCTTGAGCATGGCAAAAATTCTAGCCATCAGGGTTTTAGAATATTTGTGGATTGCTGCTGCTCCTTATCCAATGGCTATTATAGAAAAAGACAAATGGAAAACAAAATAATTAAAAACAAAATCTAAACCACACACACACACACACACACACACACGCTTGATTAGAACAAATTTAAATAATTTCGCAGATATTTGCATCATATTTTTAAAACACAAAAAACCACAACTACATCTGATGATAGGAGTTAAACTCTTTATTCCATTCAGAGGCATCTGGCAAGTGGAGCTGCGTTGGGGGGCACATTACAGATGAAAAATGATCCATACTTTGCAGATGTTGAAATCATTTACAGTATTTACTTTCTAGCTATTCCCAAATACTCCAAATTACCAAATCTCAATTGAAAATAAAAACATGATTTACCACACTAAGTCTAGAAATTTAAGAAAGATGACAGTATTTAAGTCAGCAGATGTAAATGCAGCGCCTATTCGTAAAATAACTTTTATGGAAAATAAGTCAAATCCTTCTCAAATGTTAAGAAAGGAACGTCGGACTTAGACTTAAGCCTCAATGAAAATTAAAATGCTATGACTTTTCATACTTCGGTAATTTTAAATTAATTGCAAGAAAATCTAAGGCTAGATGAAGGTCACCGTCAAAAAGGAAAAGAAACTCATTTTTCTCTGCTAAAACTACAACATAAGTTGGTGGTTTTTAAACCAATTAGTAAAGAAGAGATGCAGGAAAAACACTTCAGACCATTTTCAAAAATTATCTAATCTGTACAACAATGATCTTTGGGAAAAGTATCTATTCTATGTAGAAATGCCTCTATTTCAATATGAATCTAAGAGGTAGATCAACAAAATGATGAAACAAATGTTTTTTGCTAGTTGTGCCCCTCAAATCAGTGCAGCATGGTGATTCTGATCATCTCATGCACAAAAACATCACAAAAAAAGGTTCAGAGGTAATAGCATGGCTCTGTAGACCACACACATACAGGCGCGCACGCGCACACACACACACAGCAGTCTTTATGCACCATGTGTTGCCACATTTTTAAAACTGAGGTAGACTGAAGTTTATTGTAGAAACTTGAATATTACCACAATCATTATTCAAATTACATTCTGAAATTAAAAAAAATTTGGTAGCTTTCCTATTATCCCTGCCTTTTGACATTTTTTTCCTCTAATGGTTGGTTGCAGAACGTGCATAAATCCTGCTGCATCTATTATAAGCCAGGCAAAAGAGGGTTTTTTTTTTTCCTTATAGTTTTAAAACCTTCAAAGTGGCTTAGTGTGGCCCATAACAGCGGCTGGATATGTAAACTTAGCCTTTCATTATCTTTACATGTGATCAAACAGTGTTTGACCTTCCCCCATCGTGGTAACTGAAAGCAGTATGATGCGATCTGCAGTGAGCAACAAGGACCACATGGCCTTAAACATGCCCCGGCAGACCAAGTGTTCTATCAAACTGAAGATGAAGCTTGCTCTTTGAACAGAATGGCAAAGTCCAAAAGGGCTGCAAATGTTTAAATGTAGCATTATTAGGTAGTGATGGTCAAAGGCACAAAGGGTTCATGCATTCAATCAAGTAGCACAAAAAAACCAAAATTCAGCCTCCTGCAGCCTTTTAATTTTTTCCCCCAACCCCAGCCTCTTGCCATCACTTCCTTGTTCTGTTCCCAATAAAGTACCGTCACAAACTTTTTCATCCCATCTTAAAACAAAAATAAACGGCATTGCTGCTATCAGAATGTTGGCATCATTCGCTATCTTTTGAACATTCGCTGAATTTTTTTTTAAACAAATGATGGTGTTGAAACCCTCAGAAAATCTGAGGCTGTATTTTTTCCATCTTACTCCCATCAGCCAGCAGCTAGAAGCATCCTACTATATTTTTCCCCCCCAGTAATTCCGTAAGTACTCCAGGCTGGTGGCTGATCAAATTTTAATTTTTTTAAAAAAATAAAATGCTCAAGAACTATTAGCTTTATAAAGTATACAAAATACCAAAAGAAAAAAAAAAGCAAAAAGGAACAATTTCTCATTGAGGTACTAAATGCCTGAGGTAGTTTAGTAAAATGCATATTTATCTTTTTATGCCCTGGCCAACACCATGCAACACTTCCCCTTAGGTTATTCATGGCAGTGTTATGTAAAAACGCAACCAAATTTTTAAAAAATGCTACTTGTTTAATATTGGGACTAACACTTAAACTCTTGTCAATGCCCTTGCTCTAACCCTAACCCACCCACAATCCCACCCTCCAATTGTGTTTTCTTTTATGACTGGACCTATAAGAGCAATGCCTTTTTTTTAACCAGTGAACTCAGAAGAGAAAGCTTCATTAAACCAAGTTCTAAAATTGTTGGGGAATAATAAGAACAATAAAAAAAGACCAACGAGTTTATGTTAAATTGTGAGAATAGAACAAAAGGGAAGTGAAGGGGTCCTTATTTTAAAGCTGGGTTTCAAAAGTTTGAGAGAGCCTAAAGAATACATTCTCAGAGACAGCGTTCAATGGTTGCCTGGTCCTCAAACAGGTGACTGGCTTGGTGGAACTTCTGCATATAACTCCAACAGGTGTTCATCACCTGTCCATCTGTAACACAGTCTGTCTTTGGTCTGGCATCTGTCTCTGATGGGCCATTTTCTAAACCTTTATTTTCGTCTTGGCTGAGGCTGTCCACTTTGCGCTGTTTTTTGCTGTTGCTGTTGCCTCCTTACCTGAGCCAGTATTTCCTGAATTTTCCTCTGGGCAAGCTGCAGGATAGAAAGCAATATGCTTTGACTGCTAACTTGTTACACTGGTTTTTAGAGTTCATCATTAGTTTTCCCCCACCCCATTTTATTTAGCACCAGGGTCAGTTTCCCATCTATAAAAAGGGAAATTTATAAAGAGCTTTGAGATTTATGTACAAGCAGCGCTATGCAAGAAGTAGTTTTTACTTAACTGATCATCATGTGCCCTCATCATGTGCATAGATTTTTTTTTAAGGATAGGGTTGGGTGTTTTTAATTATTGATGTGTACAGACCAGGGCCTTTTATTACAACCCCTATGGCAGCGGTTCCCAATCTGTAGTACAGGTATCACCAGTGGTACGCAGACAACCTGTCAGTGGTACTCATTAACAGATTTATCATAATTACTTTATATGATAAAAATTTGCTGGTGGTACTTAAGGTTTATCATTTTAATTTGGTGGTGCACAATCTGTTAGAGTTTGGGAACCGCTACCCTATGATGTTACCACAATGCAAATAAAATTAACAACCAACCAACATCTAAGAAAGTCTACAACATTTATCCAAATGTTATTCCCAAGTTAGGCCTCTGACAAAACACAAAGATGTTCCACAACACTGAGTTCCACATTAACTCATTCAATTTTATTCCTATTTTATAGTATTATATAATATTACTTATGTCACTATGCAGCAGGCTTATGTATTGAACATGAGAGAATTCTAAAGGTTCATCTTACACAAGTAAGATTTCTTTTTCTGAAACACCACTTAGCCTCTGAACTGGACACCACAACAAACCAAATAATTCAGGTTAACTCCTCTGTGAACATGAAGGTAAGTGAAGGGTGATGTCTCTTAATCCCTGTATGATTAATTTCATAGATTATTAATATAAGTAAGTACTTTATACACAGATTTTAGTTCTAATCCCAACAGACTAAAGCTGCGAGAATAAGTATATTGAGAAGAGGTTGGCAAAAAATTTGTTCTACAGTTTTAACCTTACTGTACTCTTAAGCATTAATTGCACCACTCACATGTATCAAATTTATCTGGTCCGGTGGGGCAGATGAGTGGCACAAGGCTGGATCAGGACCATAGACCAGCCCCATATGCTGGATCCAATGCATGTCTCAGAGTGGGTACCATGTGCTGCACACATGTGCCAGAGTGACTAGTCCAGGACCTTACTGCATGCAGTGCCTCCTCCAGCCACTTGGGGGCCATGCTGCCCACAGGTCTGCTCCATACTGGATTTAGGGTGCATCCCAAAGTGGCTGGAGCAGGTGCTGCATGTATCATCTGCTCTGGGACTGTGCCACCTGCTCCAGGAATTGTGCTGGATCTGACACAGAGGTGCAGTCCCAGAGTGGTCAAAGCATGCAGTTCATAGGGCTATCTGGCATGTGTTACAGGCTGTCTGTTGGTCAACTCTGGGACTCACAAGCAGCACTGCAGGTCAGATGATAGGGCTTCATGGACTTGATGTGGGCTGTATCTTTGACAACTCTGGTATAGCTGAAGCACAGCACACCTGGTCTACTTTTCCATGGAAAATTTGAAGTTCCATGCATTATCCTGTTTTGTTTTTTCTGAAGGCAACTACTTGTCTTTATATTAAAAATGGAAACAGTGAGCATGCCTACATGTGCAATTAATGCTACTTGGCTTTCCTGTGCAGTAAGCACCTGCACGTTTAGATAGCAACACTTTACTGCGCAGCAGACTAAATTGCTTTACTCATGTAGATACAGCCAGTATGTTGTAAATAGCTCACCTGACAGGTCAACCATAAACTGATTATCATTTCAAAAGTCACAGGGTGAGATAGGTATGGCTCATGGCTACTCAGGATTTTCTGTATCTTAGAAGTTACTACTTGCTTGGGGTGTACATGCATAGGAAAAATTCCTGGGTGCAAAACATAGATAAGGTACAAAAACTAAATAAAAATCACTGAAACAGCCCTACCTGGCATGCATAGAAATGGCCAGTTATTTTCACAACAACCTGATCATTTTCATCTGGGGTCTGGTCACGAGGGACTACAACTTCTGCACTTGTCAAATTCTGAAGCTCATTTACCTGTAAATAAATACTGAAGTCAGCAAAATGCAGCCATTTTAATTCATGAAAATTTAACGTTGCTGGCCATCTGATCTATAAAAACAGCACCCATAGATTTAGAAGTCAACCTAAATGCAGCTGTTTGCTCGAAGAACAAACAAGCATTTTTTCCACTGAAACAGAGCAAAGTCAAGCCTGTGAAAAAAAATGCATGTTACTTGGAACATGGCAAGCAAGCAAAGAATGAGAAGCCTAAATTACATATTACTAAAATGCCTCAATTCCAGTGACTAACATTTATGTTTCTTTGGACTGTTAAAATAACCGAAGTGATAACACCAAAGATATTATGCAGCATACACTGTATGTGTAGTATTGCAGTCACTTCCACCGTGAATATCATATTGTTATAGATTATAAATTCACGTTTTGCACTGTCCCACCTAGATTTTGAATCTGTCAATCCAATAATGTTGTTCAATTAACAGAAAGCAAGTAAACTTTTTAAAATGTTGCTCACTGGAGACCTGAAATCACATTCTCTACTCATTTAAAGTATTAAATGAGACTCCAGGGTGGTATAGGGGTCCTCAAACCATGGCCCAGAGCTCTTGGACCTATGCCTATCACAATAGTGAAACATACACAAATATGTGGGCAGTGCAGTTCCAGCATCTTAAATTTTGTTGGACATGTGTGAGACATCAAGAACTGCTCACTTTTAAGTCCATGCCCACTTGGATATCTAAAGGAGGACTGGAATTTTTTTTTAAGTCTGTATCTTTGTTTCTTCAGTGTAAATTAATCCATGATGAGGGTTATTTAACAACCTCAGAATCTGAGAAGGAAACAAAGCAGAGGCAAGAAGAAAACTCAGCAGATAGGGAGAAATTAGAGCAACAAGGACTGCAGAAAGTGGTGATCAGGTGGTGGTAACTTCTACACCCATGGAGTGAAAACAAAATAACCAAAATACACAGATGTGATTCACTAAGTAGCTTATGCCCAGCACAATAAAAAACAATGCTGATTTTCCTTGTCTTCATAATTCAATTTTAACACTGTTTGAAACCCAGCACTAGAGTTGCCAGCAGAGAGTTCCTCCAAAAGGTGTTCTCTACTTTTAGTGATTTGTAACAGAGAGAGTCCAAAAGACCAAGCAGAGGACTGAATAAACAGGGACATCTGTACATCACTGCTTGTACAAGTGCTACAGGCCAGTTCAACCAGTAGGATGTTGACAAGCTGAGCACCATCAACTCCAGCTGAAGCAAACAGAATTAGATCATTCACAATCTCTGGATAGGCCATGGACTTAATAGGGCTCAGACTCTCCATTTATAAACCTGGGATAGCACTGATAATTAAGGCTTGTTAAAGTTCTTTGAAGATGCCAAGTAAAATACATTGATGGTGTTAAATATTAGTTAAAAGGGAACTATGTCGCTACTGGCCATAGTTCATGGCAGAGTGCTAGAAGCTAACAAAATACCAGACTGCATTTACTTCATATGGAAGCATTTTGGTAAGAAAAGTCATTCCAATTTTTAATGAAATTGTTCCTTTTAAGTAGGGGTACACCAATAGAGATTTTTGGGGCCGATACCAATAGCTGATTTTTAAGGAGGCGTATTGGCCAATAACAATCCCATTTCCAATATGCAGCTCTTCAGCTTTAAGAGCTGCATCCAGCTGGTAACTCTTTGGAGGGGAGGAAGGGGGGGGGGGGGGCGGCAGATAAAGGCCCCTGCGGTGAGGGAGGGAATGGGACTGGGGCAGGTGCTTACCAGCCAGGGCAGGGAGGGGAGGGGCACGGGACAGAGCCACAAGTGGCTTGTCCAGAGTGGGGGGGCACATGCCCCTGGATCTGCGTGGCATGGGGCGGGCTGAAGGTGTGGGCTGGGGCTGAAGGGAGGTGCGGCTCATCGGGGGGGCAGGGGAAAGGAGGGAGGCAGCCCCTACCGCTGTGCATGGCTTGTCTGGTGCTTGTCTGGTGGCTCCGCTGCTGCTCCAGCCACTTGTCAGGGAGGGCATGGGGTGGGGGGCATGTGCCCCTGGATCTGCCCAGCTGGGAAGATCCCAGCCCACTCTGCCCTCCCAGGCCAGTGGTGGGAGCAGCAGCAGGAGCCACCAGACAAGCACCGGATAAGCTGTGCACAGCGGCAGGAGCTGCCCTCCCTGTCCCTTCCTGCGCCCCCCCAATGAGCCTCACTTCCATCCTGCATCCACCCTGGCCCCAGCTGGGCAGCCCCTGCCCCAGCTCCACGCCCTCCCTCACCGCAGGGGTCTTGATCTGCCTCCCCACATCCCTTTCCCCTCCCCTTCCCCTACACCAGACTTACCAGCTGCACACAGCACTCCACGCTGCCAGCTCTGCTCCTTACTGCCTATGTGCTACACTGTGGCTGTGCGCATGCACGGGCACTTAATCGGACAAATTAATCGGCTGCATCGGGCCAATTTTTGATACAGAAAATTTTCTTAATATCGGTGCCAATCTGATATTGGACCAATGTATCGGTGCATTTCTACTTTCAAGTCTTCTACTCTGACTTCTGAACAGTACAACAAGAGGCGTCCATTATATATATGCAACAAAGTGTGTTATTAACCTGGTCCATTAAAGAATAAGACTATGGCCAGAGCTTGCCATTTCTGCTTCAGTTTATCTCAAAAGTGGTGGTAAAACCACCTGCTTTTATACCCTGCTCTGAGATCTTGTAAAAATTCTACAGTAGTACCCAGAAACCTAACAGGAAGAGTGGTACTGGGAGTATTAGTCAACTAGCCCTTAGGTCCAAGGCCTCTGTGGACCAAAGGATGAAGATCCAAGCCAGCACAAACTGGGCTGTTTTGTTTGTTTGAAAGAAGGTTAGATTATCTTAAAACTGATCCCATCTAACTTCCAATTCTAATAATGGCATAGGGATGGTCTGTGAGGTGCTAAGACCCTCTTTTCTGCCTGGGCAGCAGGCCAAAGCAAAGCAAGTAGGATTTGTAGGGTCTGGGGAGTGGGGAAACCCAAGAAAACAAAACACAATTTCCTCCTTTTCTTTACACTGGAAAGCTTGTCCAGCACTGAATACACAAGAGTCTGATCTTGCCAACACTTCCTTCAGAAGGTTAAGTCAGCTAAATTGTTGACACAAAGAATGATCTACACGATCAGGCCTCTAATTAAAAACCTATTAATTTTAAATGGAAGGGGAGTAACTGCATTTGCCATTAGAAGTCCCAAAACCTATGACTGGGATTTAAGTCAGTAGTTATCCTCCTGATTGGCTCCAAATGAAATCTAAATATTGATTTTGAGAAAGGTAATTCTTTTCTGCTTGAATTTCGGAATGGAGAGAGGAAAAACTGAAGGACCAATTATGGCTTACACGGCACATGCAAGCTTCAATTACTATGCAAAGAGTTAAAATATGAATTAGCTTAAAGCTTATACTTCGGCTGTCCTTCAGCTCCGTTTCTTTTCTCTCAGTTCAATACTTACTGTTTTGCCTCCTTTACCAATAACTCTACCAGCAGCATAGGATGGCACTTTTATATGAGCCTCAAGTTTAACTTCTTCTTTAGGTCCAAAGAAATTTTCTTCTTTAAGCTTTCCATAGATTCTCCCTTGAGCCTGTGGAATGAATTTTGTCAGAGTTAAATTCTAGTACCACCCTGAAATCTAGTCCATTAAATATATCCAACATGCACTAAAGAAAACTGACAACATACATAAGCAAACACAAGAAAAGACGTTTTTCCCCCCTTGTAAAAACTTTTTCCACTTGAACTACTTTTTCCAAGGTGCTTGCCTCTAACTAGAAATTGCAGGAGTCAATCCCATATAGAAACTGACAATCTACCCAAGTTTCAAGCACAGTAACAAACAACAGCATTCTACTGTTTTCCAGTGGAGTAACTCATTTTAAATGATTACCTCTTGTTTAGTGGTAGGAGAACTGCAAGCCAGATGTATGTTTTTATTACTACCAAGAGCCCAAAAGCAGTTTATTTGCTCAAGCACAAGTTAGTTCCTGAAATTCATTCTTTAAAAGGATGTTGAAATCAAATGCCAAGACATATTACAAAGACTTAATTTACACCAGGTTGTATGCTTTTACACAAATTACTGAGTAACCAAATGCAATGTGTTGGTTTAGGCAAGTGTCAGTGTTTAGTTTTTAATGTACAAAATTAAGTCTTTCATTGTAATTCTGAGTGGCATCTTGGAAGTAGTTTTATTTTAACCAACACAGATCACCATATAGCAGTGCTGGGTACATGAACATGCTGGGTAGTAACACAGATATCAATCAAGATGTGTCTGCCCATTACAAATAGGAAAGTGAGAATAAGTGCCCAGCTCTTTCCATTTTTTAAATATCTTGGTTTTAGTTGCTTCTCAAACTGCTTCTTAGTTCCCTGTCATTCACAGGCTGTCATGAATTACATTTTTTCTTCCATTCTTGGAGACCTTTCAAAATCAGGTGGATGCTTCCTTCCTAAGCAGTACCACAGAAACTGATTCAATGAGATAACTGGATCCTAAAGGATGCATTCTCCATTTGATTAGTATTTCAGTCCCTTTCCAAAATCTTGGCAGCACCTGTCAGTCCTAACACTGCAAAGACCCACAAAGTGTCAAAACAAGGAAAGATAGATGGGAAAGAAGTAATAGCAGACCTCTGACACAAGCCACATCAACTGATGGAATACCAGCCAACCTGTGACACCTGAAGCTTGACCATCTCAGGGTTACTCTTGTCCATTTTACCTTATGTGTTACAGCCGTGAAAGATTCAAGAAGCTAGAACAGTATAAAGCAAAAGGAAGCTGGATCACCTTATAAATTTTCAGCAACTTTTCACTTGTACAACACAAACAGCTGGTCCATCAAAAAGGGCACTTTGAAAGTGCTGAACTAAACTAAAATAGGCTAATCAAAAATTGTGGCCATGGAGCTGCAGGCAATCAGCTCTTCCAAAAAACAGGCCACAGAGACAAATGGTTATGCTTATGCTTTGGGGGATTACCAATAAAGGGTTGAGTTACAGACCTGTCTCTTACCTCTTTCAGACTTGGGTGGTAGAAGTGCCTTACCTGCTAAGAGGGAATAGAGGATCATTGGAAAATGTAATTGTATTTTGACTTGGTGTATAAAAAGGGTAAATCAGTAGGGGAATCGTAACTGTCCCTGAATTCTGTATCTAAGCTTACAAAAGTCCTGATTATAGACAGGCTGTAGTCTTCTCTCAAAAGACCAGACAATGTTGGGTTTCTGGTAACTCTTCCTGCTGGCAGGGATGAAGAACAGCTCAAAAAAATCTGAGATATGATGTCCCCACAAGGAACCACAGTTATTGCCTGGAAGGATTTTCACCACTTGTTGACTAACAAGCAATGCTACTGGAGACAATTAAGAGAATGAGTCCTTAAAAAAAGACCATTTGAAGCTTTCATTCAATCTAGAGATATACTCCAAACAATAGCGGTATGGATTGATTTTATAATCTCAGTCAAAGGAACGTTGTTCAAAGCAGCAAGAGAGTCTGAGTGGGCTGAAGCTGAGTAAAACCTGGTATAATCCCCTCAAACATAGCTGATGTGCATACATCTCATGCCTTAGCTGGATAGTCTCTATAAGGATATCAGTTGGGCTTTCATCCTCTTTACCAACACAACAGTGTACACAGGGCTTTAAGTGAACTGCTATTGTTCAAATAAAACGGATAGTGTTCCAACCCTATCCAGCATGTGAAAATTTGCTTTGTCCAATAAGTGAGGTTTTGAAGGAAGGATTAGCATATGAACAGATTAACAGAGACATTCAAGTCTACCTTAGGCAGAATGAACCCTGAAGTTAGTTTTATGTAAAAAAATATACAGGCAACCCCCACTTAACACGGTTTCACTTAGTACTAGTTCACTATAGCGCTCATTTAAAATTCATACCTGATTTCACTTAGCGCTGAGCCAGTTTCGTTATAGCGCTCAGCAAAGCAGCAGCGGCAGCAAGAAGCGGGGAGTGGCAGCAAGTGGGTGGGCAGGCATGAGCATGGGGCCCGCACTGGTGCCGCAGGGCCAGGGCCAGCAGGGGCCCACAGAGGGGCAGCAGGAGCAGGGGGCCCAGGCTGGCACATGGTGCTGGAGTGGCTGGCAGGTGTGGGGTGGAGGAGGTAGAAGTGGTGGTGGCAAGAAGCAGCAAGTGGGTGGGCAGGCATGACTGCAGGGCCCCCACCAGTGCCAGCAGGGGCCTAGGGCAGGGCAGCAGAAGCACAGGGCCTGGGCTGGCACATGGTGCCGGAGCAGCTAGTGGGCAAGGAGGTAGGGAGAAGCGGTGGCAGCAAGAAGCAGTGAGTGCGGGGCCTCCGCCAGTGACCGAGGCCAGGGCCAGTGGGGGCCCAGGAGTGGAGCAGCAGAAGCGCGGGGCATGGGCTGGCACATAGGGCAGGAGCAGCCAGCAGGTAGGGGGAGGGGTGGGGAGAGGCAGTGGCGATGGTGAGAAGCTACTGCAAGAAGCGGCAGTAACCAATTATTTCTATTTACATTAATGCCTATGGGGAAATGGGTTTCACTTAGCACGGTTTTGCTTAAGGCTCAGTTTTTCCAGAACCAATTAAGAGCATTAAGCGGGGGTTGCCTGTAAACTGGATCTTCTGCAAGGGTCTGGGTTTCCCTTATCTTTATATATAGACTTCCTGGTAGTTATAACCCGTCTTGACTGGGACCTCATAGTTGCTTTCACATGGTAAGCAAGAACTTATTAAAACAATCAACATGTTGAAATCATCCATAAAGAAAAAGATTTCTGACAGGTGAAAAATCCTGGATTCAGCCTTTGAGAAATTGTCAGAGTGCAGTGAAACACTGTCATACAGAACTATAACTAATAGACCAATTCACAGAGATTAAAGCCAGAGGATCCCTAACTGAGGTAAAGAATAGTCCAGATTGCTTTACTGACAGAAAATAAACCAATATATTTGGAATGATTGCCTGGAGAGGTGACCAAGGGTATTATACAGATGAAACTGAGATTATTTTTGTTTAGACTGGCAAATTTGCTTCAAGGAAGATCTCCTACTCTGAAGTAAGATGCCAGGATAGCTACAGAGAGGAACTGTTCTGGACACCTTAGATAGCCAGAATCTAGACTGCTAGGTGCAGGGATTGTGGGTCAAATATACACTGCTGTGGAAACATCAGGTTGGCCAGTTCACACCAGTATTGTGATCAGTCTCAGAACAGTTACCTTCATGAAGTCGAATACAAAAACAGCCTGACCCAAATTGAAGGTACCATGAAAACTGTCCTGTGTCACTGAACCTTGTCAGTTTTCTCAACAACTAGAGAGATCAGGAGTATTGGTGGAAAGTGTACAACAGATCAGGCATCCAACAGATGTGAAAGATCTCCACAAGGGACCGCAGACTCCCAGTGGAAATGGGTAAAGAGGAGGGCATATTGGCAGATAACAGGTTCCCAGTGATCTTCCAAGTAGCTCTTAGAATTCTTCTAAGGATGTCTCCTAGTGCCACACAAAGTAAGAGGGCATTACCCATGGAGAAAACTGTCATCCGCCTTAGGACAAGGAGCAGATCTTCAGTAGCAAAGCAGATCTACATAGCACAGCCTGGCAATGACATAGCAAGTTTATGGACTGCCGGAACCAATTACTACAATGGTGCTAAGGAAGTAGTTGATACTAAACCAAGGTATCTTGGTACAGAGGTGCTCAGTACCATTCTGGATGATCTCAACATGCTCTCCACTTGAATTATCAAGGCAACAGTGGTATCCTCTTATCAATCTTATCGGAGTCAGCTCAGTTCTTGGGATGAGAAAATTGTTGATGCCAAATTCAATTCTGTGCCAGGATATAGACCCAGGTCATTGCCTTTAAGGCTTAGGAGAAGGCACCCAGCCTGGCTCTTGGTGCAGTGCTACTTACAGTACCCTTCTGAATGGGTGCTACTGACAGACTGAGCTTTCAAGGAGAAGTGGTGCAAGAGCTTGAATGGACACCTTGGCTGACTGTGGCTCTGACTGAGCATTGACCCAATATCTGACACTTCTCTAAAGCTGTATGTGGATCTAATACAAGGGGAAAAGCTGTATGTGGATACAAGGAAAAACTTCTTCACTCCAAACAATAGCGGTATGTTTCTGGAACAGACTCCCAGAGGGTATGGTGAAGGCACCTCCACTGCAGATCTTCAAAAGGAGACTGGACATGCACCTTGCTGAGGTTATTTGACCCCAACAGTCTTTCCTGTCCAGAGCAGGTGGGCTCAACCCGATGATCTCACAAGGTCCCTTCCAGCCAAAAACTTCCATGAATCTGTAATAAGATTTTCACAGACCTTTCCAAGAGCACAAATTTCTGGTTTCTCTCTTGCCTTCAGTCTGCCAATGCGTCTCCGAGAAGACCCTGAACAGCCTAGTGGATCATAGGCTGTTCAGGCAATCATTCGCTGACCAGTGGATCATAGGCTGACCAGGCGATCATTCACCTTTCCCCCAAAGGTACGCGTGTGTTCTCTTCTAGGTTGGCTGATCTCCTCCAGCGGGCTTTGAACTAGGCTTGTCAGGGGAAGGGGAAGACGAGGGCGGAGGAAGCCTTGGACCACTAAACCAAGCGTCACCTGCAAGAACAGCCCAGTCTAGACAAACGAGCAGAACAAATACCCAGGTAAGCAACAGGGGCCTGGGTAGTACTGAGATTAGGGGGCCAGTGCATGCATCTTCAGGAGACCTCAAATGCCTCTGCACTAATGCTCGTAGTATGGAGAACAAGCAGAAGGAATCCACCCTCCTGCTAGCTAACACCAACCCAGACATAGTGGGGCTCACCGAAACATGGTGGGACCCAACGCACGACTGGGCGGTTAATATCAAGGGCTATAGGCTGTACAGCAGGGATAGGACAGGGAGGAGAGGTGGGGGTCTGGCACTCTATGTCAAGGAGAAATACACGTCCTTAACGAGTGGCACTGGGTCAGAGGAGGGGCACACTGAAGTGCTCTGGGTTAGAATACAAGGAAGTTGAGGGGAAAGGGACTTAACGGTGGGGGTCTACTAGAGCCCACCCAACCAAGGGGAAGAGCTAGACGGGGAATTTTTGTCAGCTCACGGAGGTAGTTAGGTCAAAGGACATAGTCATCATGGGTGACCTGAACTTGCCAGTCATCTGCTGGGAAGAGCAGTCAGCCAGGTCTGACCACTCACGTAGGTTCCTAGCCAAGATACAGGACCTCCATCTAACCCAGGAGGTGCACAGCCCCACCAGGGGAGACGCCCTGTTGGATCTGGTCCTGGCCATGGGTGACAACCTGGTGAGGGGTCTGCGGGTGCTTGACCACCTAGGTGACAGCGATCATCACCTGCTGGAATTCACCATCCAGCGCAAGGTGGCAAAGGCCTGCAGCAAGGCAGCAGACCTCGACTTCAGGAGGGCAGATTTCAATGAGGTAAGGAGAATAGTTGGGGAGGCACTGAGGTTCCAGAGGGGAAGGGAGTCGGCTGTCCACGAAGAGAGGTCGTTCCATAAGGAGACGATCCTCCAAGCCCAAAGGGAGGTAATCCCAATGCGGATCAAAGGGGGCAAGAGGGCGCAAAAGCCCCCATGGCTCACCAAAAGCATACGTGAACATCTCCTAGCTAAAAAGGAGGCGTACACCCAATGGGAGGGAGGGGCCATCACCAGGGAGGACTAT